CGTGAGCCACCACGCCCAGCCTTAGTTATTATGGTCCATCTCCTGCTACACTAACTCCATGGCCTGGATGGTCCACCCCGTCGTCCAGCCTTCCTCCATCCTTGCACTCACAAAACAGAACCCAACAGCAAACCCAGAGATGCTTTTCAAAAAGGAAATAGTTGTGAAAAGAGTTCACGGATAAGCAAGCAGAGTAACAAAGAAAGAAAAGAGGTCATGGCTTTGCTCCAAAACTGCAGGGCTTCCTGGCATTCTCTTTTCCTCTTCTCATATATTTACTCATTGCCTGCCTTGGGCACCTGCTGGGTAAGCTATGATACTGGAGATCTCATTCATCACCGTATCCTCAGGACCTAGAATGGTGCCTGGCACACCATAGGCGCTAAACAAATGCTAAATTAATCAATCGTGCCTGTGAAGTTCCTTCCTATATTGAATAGGGCTTACCTGTAGCCAATAGGGTATTGCAAAAATGACAGTGCATATCGTTGGATTATTAAGCAGAAGATAAACAAGAGAAATCTTAGTTTCCAATAAGTGCCTCGTCTTTCGGTTATTCCCAATTTCAGATTTCAGAGAAGGGGAATATGATTGGTTCACCTCATCTGTCTGCACCAAACCATGCCACAGAGAGCCAGGTGGCCTATACATTGGAAGCTCCAGGGAGACGTGTCTGCCTACCTTAGTCAATTCCAAGGGCAATGGCCTCCCAGACACTGTGGTTGACAAGTCGAGTATGAGTCAAGTCTAGTATCTTATCAGAGAATTGATTCTAAAATCTCTATGTAAAAGACTTTATCCCATATAGTCAGAGTTACTCATGAAAATTACCCATACATGTCTATTCTGGCCAGTACCATTTATCAAAAATCCAGCTCTTCCAGTTTTTCTTCCAAAGTCAGGAGAGATGGGTATTTCTCTGGCAGAGCATGAGATGAAGTTGTTGGTTTGCCCTATGAGTCATGTTTGAAAAATACACATTTTTTTCTTTTTTGATGTGGAGTCTTGCTTTGCTGCCCAGGCTGGAGTTCAGTGGTATGTCTTGGCTCACCGCAACCTCTGCCTTCTGGGTTCAAGCAATTCTCCTGCCTCAGCCTCCCTAGTAGCTGGGATTACAGACATGAACAACATGCCTGTAATTACGGCTAATTTTTTTGTATTTTTAGTAGAAACAGGGTTTTCACCAGGTTGGCCAGGCTGGTCTTGAACTCCTGACCTCAGGTGATCCACCCACCTCAGCCTCCCAAAGTGCTGGGATTATAGATGTGAGCCACTGCACCCGGCCAAAATAATACATCTTTAGACATGACAGTCACAGTCCACATGATGAGATGCTCACAGTATAGGAGGCATTTGTGAGACCCACTGACAGCAACACGCTCTCATCACATCTATCTCTGCTCATCTGGGCACACACTCTGAATAGAATGATGGGTAGACTCGCACTATTTAAATTGTCCTCTCCCCTCCGTTCCTTTCCTCCTTCCTTCCTTCTCTATTTACACGTTCATGCTACATGGGTTTAAGCATCCACTTGCTCCTGTTGGATTTACACATGAATTGCGTGGAGGTCTGAGTGTAACAGGAAGAAAATCTGATCCCAGTGAGAAAGCCCTGAGCACAGATGTAAAAGCAGCAAGCAGCAAAATTGTATTGATAATCCTATTTCCTGAAACAGATCTCGCACATGAAACATACGAAGATTTTAGAAAACAGCTATTACTTATCCTGAGGAAGATGAGACAAGGACAGTGCCGGGGGAACTGGGTGCTTCATCATGTTAGATTGTCCCTGGAAGCTGAAATGAAGAGGCTTACAGAAAATTGGATTATTAAGCAGAAGATAAGCAAGAGAAACTTATGTGCCAAGTGGGGGATATTAATGAAGAGATTAAAAGAAAACAAGGGAAAATGCCAGGCATTTAGGATAAAGCGTGAAGATAGAGTATGAGGGAAAAGCACTTTCGGTTTCTGGATAAATCAGGTGGAAGGGACTCAACCATCAAAAACTCGTTCTCTCTCTCACACCACACACACCATTGTAAAATCCACAGTGACAAAGAGCTTGCCTGTTTTTTCACTGCTGTCTCCCCAGAACTTAAAACCGTGTCTACCTAGCATATACTTAGTCCTCAAATATTTGTCAAATAAATGAATGCAAGATTTTAAAATGAACTGAAATGGGTCATCTTGTACCAGTTAAAACCAGACTACCGACCCTAAGCTATCTCTGGTGAAACTCAAACTTGTTGCAAAAGTAAAGACTTCTGGCGGGGCGCGGTGGCTCACGCCTGGAATCCCAGCACTTTGGGAGGCCGAGGTGGGGGTCACCTGAGCTCAGAGATATAGACCATCCTGGCCAACACGTGAAACCTTGTCTCTACTAAAAATACAAAAATTAGCCGGACATGATGGCAGGTGCCTGTAATCCCAGCTACTCAGGAGGCTGAGGCACGAGAATCGCTTGAACCTGGGAGGGGGAGGTTACAGTGAGCAGAGTGTGCCACTGCACTCCAGCCTGGGCAACAAGAGCAAAACTCCATTTCAAAATAATAATAAAGACTTCTCTCAAATTTCATGCAGAAAAAATTCAAACTTAGATGACTTCCAAAGATCTTAATCAGGACAACCTTGAACTTCACATGCAACAGTCAGTGCCTCAGACAGTGGAGTGATAGCTACCAGATCCTTGAGAGAAGTGTCTCCCAGGACTCCTGAAGCCAGCCTTGATGTCGGCCACAGGAAAAGACAATCAAGGAAAATCTCTGACCTTCAGTGAAACGCAGAAACTAAAGGGCCCCTGTGCTACACGTGATGTGATTTTGAGAAAAAAACAAGGCCAGGTGTGGTGGTTCATGCCTGTAATCCCAGCACTTTGGGAAGCCCAGACAGGAGTTTGAGACCAGCCCGGACAACATGCCGAAATCCTGTCTCAATCAATCAGTCAGTTAAAGAAAACTAGCCAGGTGTGGTGGCGCATGCTTGCAGTCCCAGCTACTCTGGAGTCCGAGGCAGGAGGATCGCTTGAGCCTGGGAGGTCGAGGCTTCAGTGAGCCTAGACTGCGTCACTGCACTCCAGCCTGGGCTACAGAGCAAGACTGTCTCAAAAATGAAAGAAAAAAGAAAGGGGAGGGGAGGAGAGGAGGTAGAGGAGGGGAGAAATGGAAGAAGAAAAAAAAAGAAAGAAAACAAAAGAAAAAGGCTCCAGGAGCCCTGAAAGGGAGCCCAGTTCACCAACCCGCAGACGGTGATGACTGGGCGGTCACTCGGGTGAGGCGACGCGAGCGCAGCGCTGTTCTGCCTCTAACTTGGCGGGGCCGCTGGGGAGGTGACAGCCCAGCGCCCTAGGACCCTAGGATCGCAGTTTGGGGCTGGGGCGGGGTAGGGCCGGCAGCTCCCTCTGCAGAGCTAGGCTGGGCCTTGGTGGGGCCGGGCCGGTCCTGGCAGCGGGGCGGGCGCGCCGGAGAGCAGGAAGCGCCAGGACCCTGAGCCCCGCACGGCGCCCCTCTCCACCGGGAAGGAATGGCGGCTGGGCCTGCCCGGGCTTCCGCATCCCCCAGGAGCCTGCGGTTGCCCCAGACCCTAGCGGCCTCCGGCTTCCCCGCAAGCAACCCCGGAAGGGAGCCGCGCCGCGTCCTCCCCGCCGCCAGGGGGCCTCCCCAGCCCCGGCCCCGCCGCTGCACGACCGCTGCGCGGAAGGACAAGGGCTCGGGGACCCCTGAGAACGGCGAACACCCCAAGCCCGGCTCCTCCGCCCTCTCTCCCTCCCCGGCGCTCCGGCACCGAGGACGCCCCGGGCTCCTGCGCTCAGCCCGAGTTTCTGGACACCCGCGGGGCGCAGGGGGCTGGACAGGACCGCCCCAAACCTGTGTCGAGGGGCTTCGCCCTCGCGGGGTCACCCAGGCAGCCTGTGCGCGGCCGCACCACAGCGCCTAAGCGCGGGCAGAAAGTAGACAGTACTTTCATTTTTACTCCTATTTTGAGAGAAGGTCTCGCTTAGTCGCCAGGCTGGAGTGCAGTGGCGCGATCTTGGCTCCCCGCAGCCTCCAACTTCCGGCCTGGAGCCACCCTCCCGTGCAGGTGGGGCGACACGCGCGAGACACCACGCCCGGCTAATTTTGTAACTTTTTGTAAAGATGGAGTCTCGCTACGTGGCTCAGGCTCGTCTTGCGCTCCTGAGCTCAAGCTATCCTCCCGCCTCGGCCTCCTAAAGTGATGAGATTACAGGCGTGAGCCACTGTGCGCGGTTGGTAGTACTTTTTGTACCTTGGAGACAAAAATAAAAACCCAGTCGCTTAAGTGGCACTCCTACAGCAGCAGTGACTTAATAACGGGAAATAGAAAAAGAAAAGAACACCCGTGGCTGAACAGAGACATACTTAGAAAATTTTATTATACTGACTGACACGCCTAATTCCCATCCCCACCTCCCATCCGCTAAACCCCCCAAAATGATAAAAATAAATGAGCAGAACAGACCCAAGACAGCAGCCAGAGCTCCCATCATTCCCAAGCACTGTTTGCTGACTGACTCACCGGGCATTTTCTGGATACAAGGAAGAGCCCCTTCCACCAGGTAGAGAAGAAAAGGGGGTCCGGGCATGGTGGCTCAAGCCTGTCATCCTAGCACTTTGGGAGGCTGAGGTGGGCAGATCACTTGAGGTCAGGAGTTCAAGACCTGCCTAGCCAACAAGGCAAAACCCCATCTCTACTGAAAATACAAAATAGCCGGGAGTGGTGGCAGGCACCTGTAATCCTAGCTACTTGGGAGGCAGAAGCAGATTTGCTTGAACCTGAGAGGCACAGGTTGCAGTAAGCTGAGATGGCGCCACTGCACTCCAGACTGGGCAAGGAGTGCAGTGGCACCTTCTCCTGTCTTAAAGGAGAAGAGGAAGAAGAGAAAAAAAGTGGGAGGGTTATCTGAGGGTGGCCGGGCAGCTCCTGGAATCTGCGCCAAGGAGCAGCCAGGCCTGGGGGCAGGGACGTCAAAGCAAGACCAACCTTGCCTTCCTCTGTCTGCGTCTCCGTTGCTTGGTGGCATCTTTTCTTGTCTCACTGTATCCCTGTTTTCATCTTCCTGTCTTGCCATCACTTGGACCTTCTCACTCTGTCTCCAGCCGTTCCTGTCTCAGGACAGAGATGTCTGCCCTATTTCCGCAGCACACCTACTTTTCCCCTCTCCCCGCTGTGCAGAGCTGCTCCCTCCCTTCTGCTGAAACAGGCAGCTCTTACCATGATCCGATCAAGTTTGGTGACTACACTAACTGACCCTGTCCTGGATGTCCCCATCCAGATCCCCAGGGCTGACCGAGCAATGGGTTCAGTCTCTGGAGCACTTCTCCACAGGGGCAGCTGCCCCCTCTGTCTGCTGTTAAGTGAGCAAGGGGTTGGAATGGGAACACAGTCCAGTCTTGGGAGTGGCAGTGGGTGCGAGAGTTCTCAGATAAGGAGCAAAACCAGGGGCCACACCTCAAGAGAAGGCTTCTATTTAGGACAGTGAAACTGCTCTATATGGTACTATAATGGCAGATCTGTCCAAACCCAGAGGATGTACAACAGCAGTCCCTAATGTACGCTGTGGACTCTGGGTAATGATGATGTGTAGGTTCTCAGATTGTAACAAATGGACCACTCTGAGGGGATGTTCATCATCAGGGAGGCTGGCAGGGAGTACACCAGAACTCTCTGTACCTTCCTTTTTGCTGTGAACATAAACTTGGTCTAAAAAAAAATTGTCTTAAAAAAAAATTTTAGCTGGGTTCAGTGACTCATACCTGTAATCCCAACACTAGGAGGCTGAAGTGAGTGGATTCCTTGAGCCCAGGAGTTCAAGATCAGCCTGGGAAACAAAGTGGGACCCTCATCTAATTAAATTAGCCAGGCATGGTGGCACAGACCTGTAGCCTAGCTTCTTGGGAGGCTGAGGTGGGAGGATCACTTGAGCCCAGGTCAAGGCTGCAGTGAGCTATGATCACACCACTGCACTCCAGTCTGGGCAATGAGGAGACTTTGTCTCAAAAATAAATACATAAGGACAGGGTGCAGTGGCTCACATCTGTAATCCCAGGACTTTGGCAGGCCGAGGTGGATGGATAACCTGAGTTCAGAAGTTTGAGATCAACCTGACCAACATAGTGAAACTCCATCTCTACTAAAAATACAAAAGTTTGCCAGGTACGGTGGTTCTCAATGCTGGCTACACATTAGAACCACCTGGCAAGCTTCTAAAACTAGCCATGCTTTGGCCCCACCCCAGGACAAATAAATGAAAATCCCTGAGAACAAGCCTCAGTATTGGGAGTCGTCAAAGCTCACCAGGTAGTTCTGTTGAGCAGCCAGGACTGGGAATCACCACTCTAGACCACTGTTTTTCGAACTGTCTGTAATAACAGCAGTTTCCCGTTTCATTTTCAGTTTTATTGTTATTTTATTGGCTGATGCTTTTGCAACACACAATAAAGAAGAATCATATGGCTTCATCCACTGGAGGTGTCCTTTATAAAAAGTGGTTCATCTATGCCTCTTAAACACAGGTGTTCTCATTATTCTGTAGCATCATCAACCAGGCAGGAAAGAAAGTTCACACACACGGATACTTCAGCCACATAGATATCTCATCATGGACCAATAAAAAACAGTTTGTGGACCACTCTAGTCTAAGGACCTCACTGCAGCACTGTTCAGTTTTCTTGACTATGAGTCAATAACTTCTTTCTATTGTTGAAATTAATTTCCAGTTATAAGAGGCAGATTCCAACTGAAACACCCTGTCATAGACATATCCACCTAGGCTGCAGTCATCGGGTCCCATGTTGCTCTCTCTCTTTCTGTCTCTCTCTTTCCCACAGGATAGCTGCAGCCATCCCAGAGTATGTGCTTAGTCATGGCTTATTTGATGGTGACTGCAAGATCACTGTGCACCTTCATTCTGGCTCCCTTTCCAGAGCAGCATTAACACAGGTCATACACACTTCCCTTCCCCCATGGTTAACACTAAAGGAAATGAGAACATCTAGGTTTAAGAGGCAATGGAAGCACCATTTTTTTTTTCCACAAAGGAAACCTCTAGAAGCCACATGATTTGGAGGTATCTTTTTGCTGTTGTTTGAGACAGAGTTTTGGTCTTGTTGCCCAGGCTGGAGTGCAGTGGCGCAGTCTTGGCTCACTGCAACCTCCACCTCCTGGGTTCAAGCGATTCTCTTGCCTCAACCTCCTGAGTAGCTGGAATTACAGGCAACCACCACCACATCCGGGTAATTTTTTGTATTTTTAGTAGACATGGGGTTTCACCATGTTGGCCTGGCTGGTCTCAAACTCCTGACCTCAGGTGATCCACCCAACTTGGCCTCCCAAAGTGCTGGGATTACAGGTGTAAGCCACTGCACCTGGCCAAGGTGCCTTTTCATCTTTTGATCACAAGCTCTTCTTTCAACTTACAAATATGGATTTTAACGTATTTGCACTGTTCTTTTTGTTGCTCAAATCATCCTGTTTGGCCAGACAGTGCCTTTTCACATAAGCCCCTGTGTCCTTTTAATCAGACTCCACAGTGCTGATACCCTCCTTGTTCAGCTGCCCCAACCTTGGACTGGCCATTTTGCAGGAGCCCTGGTTTCTTTTAGTAGAGAATGGCATACAGAGACCAAGATCTAGGCAAGCTATTTACTTTTTATTTTGAGACAGGATCTCACTCTCTCTCCTTGGCTGGAGTGCCTGGCAGTCATGGCTCACTGCAGCTTTGAGCTCCTGGGCTCAGGGGATCCACTAGCTTCAGCCACCTGAGCAGGTGGGACCACAGGCACATACCACCATACCTGACATATATATATATATATATGGTCCACGTATATATATATGTCAGGTATGGTGGTATGTGCCTGTGGTCCCACAGGCATATATATACATAACATACATATATGTTTTATATATATAACATACACACACACACACACACACACACACACACACACACACATATTGTAAAGACAGGGTTTTTGTTTTGTTTTGGTTTTTGAGACAGAGTCTCTCTATGTCACCCAGACTGGAGTGCACTGGCACGATCTTGGCTCACTGAAACCTCCATCTCCCAGGTTCAATCAATTTTCCTGCCTCGGCCTCCTGAGTAGCTGGGATTACAGCCATGCACCACCCTGCCTGGCTAATTTTTGTATTTTTAGTAGAGATGGGGTTTCACCATAATGGCCAGGCTGTTCTCAAACTCCTGACCTTGAGATCCACCAGCCTTGGACTTCCAAAGTGCTGGGATTACAAGTGAGTCACTGCACCCGGCCAAGACAGGGTCTTCTTTTATTTTTTGTTTTCTCAGCCTGAATATGTTTGTAGACAAGGTCTTGCTAGGTTGCCCAAGCTTCTACTCTTTTTAAACACAAAAATTACATAATTTTTCACACAATCTGTTTTGTCATCTCAAGAGGTCTTTGCATTGAGTCCACTAATGCACTGACCATTACATCTCTTGGATTTGAAATCCCTTTGGGTTAGGGCATGGTGCCTCAGCCTCAGCACTACTGACGTGTGGGCTGGATCGTTCTGTGTTGCGGAGGCTGTCCTGACACTGCAGGTAGATGCCAGTAGCACCTCCCTAGTTGTGGCAACCAAAATGCCACCAGACATTGCCCAATTCCCCTGGGGGTGCCAGAATCATCCCCCGTTAAGAACCACTGGATGTACTCTGGGATTCTGTGGAAAACTTTCTGGAACAAACCAGAGAAAATCTGACTCCTGATATCACATCCATGCCAGCTGCCTGCCTCTCTGTTTCCCCATTTGTCTACGTGGAATCACGACTACAAGGTAGAACAGCATACGGTGGGAAGGAATCAGACCTGTAGTGGGTCACTGTGGTGCTCATGAAGAGCAGACGCAGGTCACAAGCAGCACTGCCCAGGAGCCGCATGGCACTGTGTTGGCTTTGCTGATGGCAGGGCATCCCACTGAGCTGACTCAAATCCCCAGGATTGCTCCAGCTCTTGGATTCCCCCCAGGCCTCTTCTTAATGTTGGCCTTGTTTAGGATCTTTCATTTTACCGTCAAAAAGAGAAAGTCTCATTTAATTCATACCAGATGCTGAGTGAGTCGTCATGAATCAATACAACATTATCCAAAAACCACCAAAATGAATCATAAGGATAAACAGAATTTTTTTCTCCCTGCAAAACAGAGACTAAAATAGTGCCTTGCCCTTTTAGAAAAAAAAAAAAGCTGAGGTTAGGAAGAGGCCTAGGGCCCTGCTGGTGTAATCCATGTGTCTGTGAGCATGGAATGGTCCAGCTGTAGGTCCTAGGGAGACAGGGTATGAGGCCTGCAGCTAAGCCAGGCACACACAGGCTAAAGGAGGTGTTCCAAAGTCAGTATTGAAGACTGGGGATCCAGCATCCCCCTGAAACTGTTATGCAATCCTGTTTCCATCCCAGCCTCAAAGCTGTCTGAGACTCAGAGAAGTTTTGTCATCCTCATTATGGACGAAGAGGCCCTTGGGAACTGGGGAGGGTCTTCCGGGAGCTGAGCATCCCGCAGTTCTGCTGATAAAGCCAAGGTGACCCATCTGTCTACTGAGATCCTGAGAATGGCACTGGGAGTATCTAGGGGAGTCAGAAATGGTGTTTGTCCTCCATGGGGCAGCAGGGAGGCTGGAGAGGGAAGGCTCCGGGACCACCTGGGCACGCAGACACTGCCCCTTGAACAGAGGGAGGCAAAGGCCAAGAAGAGGCTGGGCTGACCCATCCTTACAGTGTGGCCGCATAAGACGCTTGGGTGGTTCCAGCATCTAGGTCTCCACGGACTCCCTGTTTCCTGTCTTTTCCAGGACAGGCTCTTCAATTTCCCCTTCCATGGTGTGAGGGACCCATATCCTTCGTATGAATTTCCCTTGGGGTCAGGGTCAGCGTCTGTTGCTTGCCACCCTGGTTTCTGTAAGAGGCTCTGAGAGCTGTCTCCCACATTCCTCACCTCTAAGACCTGCACAGAGTAGCCAGGAACAAGTGGAGCTGAAGCCATGCTCAATGGCACCCACTAGGTCCACTCAAAAGGGCTCCCTTCTGTTAAGGTAGAATCAGAGCCATGGAGGCTGAGTGCTCCCTGCAGTCACTGGGCCATCACCAAT